TATGTTTTCAAACCCATAATCTATGAGTGTTTTCCAAGCAGAGGGCTCCACCACACCCCGTGAGAGTTTGCTCCAAGGACGAGCCAATTCGGGAAGTTCACGGTGCCGTGGCTGTTGTGAGAGCTGGCCCCAAGCCAGCCTGGCACCGCCAACCTCCTCCTCCTGTCTGCGCTTCATCCTAGAGTGCAGGAGAAGACCCTGCTCCCACCGACTTGTCATTCTGCAGAAGAGTCGTTTCAGCTGATATAAAAAGAGCTATTTCTCACCACCTTGACTTTGATCACCTCCACCGACATTTCTTTGACCTATCATTAAAGGCAGGTGAGTGCTTACAAGCCTGCCCTGACCCAAAGCTGGTGAGATGTTACTTCTGACTCTCAGCAGAAGCAATTAACTCATGCGTGGCACCAGGCTGATGTGCACAGCCTGAAGTTCAGAGCTCACTCACATTCCATCAGCTAAAACCAATTAAAAAAAAACCCTCACAGCATGCTCAAGAACAGACCCGCTGCTTGAAATCTCAACTACGTGCCATGAAAACGTGCAAATATATTACCTCATCCATTGTCTCTCCAGTAAGCTGCGTGGATTCATGCTGTTGATGGAGTTCATCTTCTAACGTCTGAGGAATGTGATCAAACTCATCCTTGCACAGAAAGAGATTTTAATAAATCAACACCACCAGAACGCATGCTGCCATGTAGCCCTCGACACCAGTGCGTAGGATTTTCAGTTTCAACATATCTTGATTAGAAGGGGGGTTGTAATCATATTTCATATTTGAAAAGAAGGTTTCAACCAGAGTTATCCCAAATTGTTGTGAAAATCCCTCAGTTGTCTCAGCTAGTACTGGGAACTCTGCAGGTTCACTACTTTTTTTAAAAAAAAAACCCAAAACTGTGATCTCCTTGGCATCTTCCCTTTAGAGCCTGTGGGCTCAGCTTTGTTCAAGGAAATGTACCGGTGTCGAGTATGCTTGACTCACTTTATCAGAGTAACGCTGGGTCACTTCCCCGTGTCCCTCTCTTTTGAACTGCTTATCGAGCTAACACATT